AAAGCTATCAATAAGTTATGTTACTTCATCTATCTTGTCCTTGAAGTTTTGCACACCTGTGTATTACCCGGAAGCAATCCTACAAGAATTTTAGGTAATGCAAAAATGTAATTTAGTTTAATTTGCTTTTATTGTAAGTATAATAATGTTACTGCACAAAAATTCATTTCCAGCGACTCTTAGAAGGGATGCTTATCTACAGGCGTCTCTTTATTGTTTCCGTTTCAATGGAATCCTAGTGATAATCATTTGCTCATCCCTACCTGTTTATCATGGCTCAGAGACAAAGTTCTTGATCGATTCAAAAACTTTCGCCAGAAACAGTAATCTTGCCGTCGGAGTGATTTCACCTTTGGGTAGTGAGGACGGCAGTTCTGAGCTACTCATGATTCCAGAACATGTTACGCGTACATTTGAGCTGCCAATGGTAATCCAGCAATGGTTAAGGTGGATCCCATCATAAGGTCGAAATTCGGAGAAAGGGAAACTTACATAGTGGAAACACAGGCAAACCCCTTAGGATACGGACCGCTACGCAATTCGCTGTTAAGGATATGCCCCGGCGGCCTAGCATGGCCTCCCGCGCGCCGTTAGCATCACGGCATGACTCGGCTGTGTTGTGATCTTCTTCTCAGGAGTGCCTTTCGTATGAATTTGCCTCACCTTATTGTAATAACAAAGGAGCTTCTACAAAGGGTTGCTAGAATATGAAGCGACTTTTCCGCTTTTTGCAACGCAGATTTTTTTCGCTGCATAAACCCAAGGTGTACCCCTAATTATGAGTGGATCTAAGCTACGCAGTGGAAATGCTTTTCGCTACGAAAAGCGAAAAATCGCTTTCTGTAATAGCGACCCACACCTGACGCGGTTAACTCGTCCATTTGAAATCAACAGGTAAGTAGCAGGGTCAGTCGTTATACTTCTCAACGAGCGAGCAGTATTTGGGGAGCCTCCCAACGTAAGGCCAATGTGATGATCGTAGGGGTCGTATGAGACCCCCTTAGGAGGACAGAGCCGTGAAAATTTCTAAACTGCTCAACGCACTGTTGACCCTTTAAGGCCGATGTCAGACTTTGCGAATCGCGCGATTCGCTAGCGTCTGCGGTCGCGTCGCGGCCAGTGAATCACTCAATTGGCTGGTACCGCAACGCGACCGCGGACGCTAGCGAATCGCGCGATTCGCAAAGTCTGACATCGGCCTAAGGAAAGGATGCGATTTTTCGTTTTTGACCGTTTTACTTCTATCTTTTTCACAGACCAAACATATGGCATATCTAATTCCACATATCGAATAATACGCCCTATCGCAAGTTTTGTCTTCGAGCTTGACATGGATCGTTGAAGCACACCGTTTCTTTTATTTCCTTAGATGAGCATAAGATCTTACACGGCCAGCCATCGTTGCGCCTTCATCAGTTTTTTTTTTGAACTTGTAGAAAAGTTCACTTTTCAAATTTATGGCACTTCTAATAATATAATAATAGCATTTCTCATTCACCTCTTTTCTGGTTACTCTTATGTTGCTCAGAGCGCGCTTTTACCCATCAGTGTTGTATGGACTTTTCCCACTTTTTCAAGACACGTACGGGACCGCAGAGGAAAAAACAGATTCTTCTAGCATTTTCAATGGGACTTGGTGAACAACGACTTCTTTGTCTGTTTGTCGAAATCATAGAGAATCAGTTGACTTCCTCAAGGGCAAACCCTGGGATTAAACTGGTTCTAAAAGCGCTTCGTAGTCATACCTTACCTGCGGAACGACCTGAAAGTGGATTGGAAAGCGAGAGAAATCTTTGGGAACGCTGAAATTAAGGCCTTAACCTTCAATAAGGTCGGATGTGGTAAGATATGAGACAGGGCGTTTGAAGAAGACAAAATACGACGAGAGAGAGCACGTCTAGCCATTACTCGGTGGGTGGAATAAGGTTGGCACGGGGTCGATAGGTTGAGGCCTCTGTAAGATTAGCGACGCTATAATGCGCAATTTTGCGTACGCAGCTGGAGTGACTCTGGTAGATGGAGGAACTTAAATTTCTTCGTGGTACACCTCGCGAGTCTACTAGTGCCGGGCGCAATCCTCGCGGTTTTGGCCTTTAACCTCTAAGGATTTCTGGGGCGAACTATGTGGACCGTGGTTTACCGTGTCTAGTAGGGCGTAGCAATACTAATACGGCTTGCTTTGTGGGCCTTTCTAACGAACGGCGTAGCGAGACAAAAATAAATAACCACAATGACTACTAGATTTACTTTTGTGTGAAGTAAGCATTAGCACTCCACCGGAAGTCAATCAAGGCTAAATTCAGCGAGTTTTTGGCCACAAACCCACTGACAAGTTTAGACTTCCTGGCGCTTTGAAAGGGATATCAAAAGAGCCGTTTGCAACGCTACATTTCGAAGCTCATGGACGTGGTCTTCAATCAGATTGTCCCACTGTCGAGGAATCTTGGTAGCTGGCGATTCTTGCAGTTACAAAAGAAAAAAATGAAGAAATCGTGGAATATTCTCTCTTTTAGCAAATACTAGGGACACTTTTGACTGGAGCAGCCCGTGCTATAACTTTCGCCAATCTCCTTCACCGTGAAATGCTTTTCCGGATTTGAAAAGCTAATCGTGGGGTTGGCAGGTTGGTCGCCGAAGCTAACGACTCATTGAAGCGTTCACAACGCTGCGCATTTTGCCTACTTTTCGTAGTCCAACCCCGAGAATGTCGATATCCGCCGTTTTCGAGTAGTTTTCCAGTCATTAAACATCTATTATCCTATCTATCACACACAATGCGCATTTTCATCCAATCCATACACGTAGGTCGCTCTCATCGACTGCTATGCTCTCGGCAGTACAAAGTAATACCTGAGTTGTTTATTTTTTGTTTTTTTTTCAAATTTATGCAGTCAGTTCAGGCTTTATGTGACAGTTCTAAGCTTCTGTAGAGAAGAAAGAAATGTAATGCAAGTTGCGAAACAAATTTGCCTGAAACGTTCTTCTTATTCGCTTTTTGTCAAAACAACGTTAAAAAATGAATTTCTGCCTACTTCAATCGATCTAGTTTCTTTTTAGCTTGGAGCGTCTTCTTTGAAATTTCCAAAAGTATTTTTTAGGCAGAAATAGGTGATATAGGTTTCAATAATGTTACCAAAACTTATATCATCCATAATATTATGGTTCTCTCACAGTGAGCTGGAAAATGTAGAAGACTAGTTACAAAAGTACTAGAAAAGAAAAAGAAAACACTAGAGGATTTCCGAGAAAGTCTCAAAGGATAACCCATAAGGCCAGTATCGAAATGCCATTTTTGAATTTTAGCCACAAATATCTGGGTACCTCTCTAGTCCGCTGGCTTTGCCCTCTTGCCGCGCGACGGGCCTCCTGGAAGGTACCCGTGCCCAGGGGTACCCCCAGGAGGCCCGTCGCGCGGCAAGAAGGCAGAGTCGGCGGACGAGTTGCAGCGCGTGATGTGCGATGTAGGACGTGCAATGGGACACTCTATTTAACTTGACGCGAAATCCCTATACGCGCGCGACTCGTCCGCTGACTTTGCCTTCTTGCCGCGCGACGGGCCTCCTGGGGGTACCCCAAATGTCTAAGCGCTCGGTGCACCACCGTCAATATTTGAATTCTGGCTCCATTAGCCTGGTTCAAGAGTATAATATAGTAGATGGTCTCGTGTATCTGTCTCAGTCGGGGATGCTGGTGAAAGTATCCTTCGTAAAATGTTGAATCACCGATTTCTATCCTCTTCATACAGCGGCTACGCATGGATACACAGTCTAAGACGAATCCTGACGGTGACACAGATATCCATTTTAACCCAAATCATTAGAGCGACCGGTGAGGGAAACCTCAGGGCCCTATGGTAGTTACAGCTCGTAATTGCAAAAACAGAAGTCCGAATAATAAAGTTTCTAGATTATGAAATACATTCTCGTGAAAATGTGGCGCACCAGGAACATATCCGTGGCGTTAGGGTCATATTTCTCTGAGTCATCTATTTGAACGAGGGGGTCGCATTCAGGGGATGAGTGGGATGAGTGCTATTAGTGATTGGTTTGAGCGAGTTGCGAGGCGATGGCGATTTAGATTGGTTTTTTAGCGTGGTGGGATAGGTGGGAGTAGAGAAATTTTTTTTATAAAACTTCCCGCTTGCGTTTTTTTGGATTTGGAGGATAAAAAGGGCTGTGTGGTTACGGTTGTCGAGGTGATTAGAACAAGCGTAGTAGAACAGCAACATGGCTAGAAGTGGTGGTAGGGTGGGGAGAAGGGATGATCGTATATTGGCGGGGGAATTATTGCGGAAGGTATCGTGGGAGGTCTCATAGTGGTGTGAGGGGGGGTCGCTCGAGACCCTAAGTATTTTGAAAAGTGCGTACGTCACGGTTGACCCTGTGCGCGTTAACCGTCGAAGTGTTGCTCAGAGGCAAAGTTTGGGATGTCTGAACGAAATAAAGTCCTTGTGCGAGAAATATGGAGCACAGAGCTTGTACGTACTTGGTGTCTGACTTAACAACGTTGGGGCGCTAAAGCCCAAGAGTGCACCATGAACTCTGCCTAACACCATGGACCGCGTCTTCAGTTCAATGTCAAGTCGCAGCTAGAGAGGGGCTATTTTCGGCCTTGTCGACGTTTTCTTCTCTACTCACTTCACGTCCTGGTTACTCTTTCAAGCGCAATAACTCACCAATCCAGGACATTGAATTTAGAGGTAAACACGATGAAATACATGCCCAATGTGGCCATAGCAGCTGATCCTGAGGTCTTTCGATTCTGAAATCTTCAGCTTCTTGTGATCCGCCGTATTCCACTGCAAAATTTGCTTTTGTGCCATAGTCACCCTATTTATTTCGCATCTTTTTGTTTCGGGTAATAACATTGCTTGCTGAAGATGGTATAAGAATATCGCATGCCGGGTCAAACAATGCTCGCCATCCACCCTTGCTCATAATAGCTTTTTTGTAACTGGCTGCAAAAAAATAAATGCACAGATATCTATTTAGACAACAACAATGTCTTCAAAATTGAAAGATTTAGCGGACAAAGTTCGAGGATGGAAACTCGTTCAAAAAACCCTTCCTCGGATCATCGAGTACGGCAGAGCTGAAGGGATACTGCAAACCGGCCCTGTGAGTGTTTCTTCGTCTCATCTTCAAGAAAAACTTTTCTTATGAATTTTTACATAATCGACCCTCTTGGAGGGGTACCTGTGGAATTTTTGAAGAGAATTAATGCAAGGAGTACAGTCACGTACAAATCTCCCTACCAACCCTCCATCATCGCCTCACCAGACTATTGACTATTCCTATAGAATACGATTCTGAAACAAGTCGGCACACTTCAACTCCGCCTCAATGTTTTTACCAAACCGCTACCAAATGTCAAAAAAAGGCAACTGTTCCACTTTCGCCCATTTCATGTCTTTGTCGTCAGCATTTCGTTGATCCTGTAGCAACCCCTCCGCTCTCCCATTGCAATCAAGACCCCTTTAAATTCCGCAAACACGACCCTGCATCCCCACTTTTTTGAGGTTTGGTTAGCCTTGGTACCTCACACGCCCCCGTCCGAACTCCACAATCGAATGGTTGAAAATTTTCGCAAGGAATTTCTTTGTATGGAGTGGGATTCAGGACACGCTCCGTTCCTCAGCGCGTAAAAACCAAGAGAATGCTCACGAAACTGACTACATAGAGATGCATATTCGTTTTCAAAGTGGGAGTTGCCCTTAATGATTGCATGTATCAAAAAATATTTAGAAAATAGATGTATTAGAAAATATTTAAAAGTATATTAGTGCAGCGTAATATTCTCGGGACAACACAATATTTATCAAGAGCAATCTGAACAAGATTAAATCTACAATTTGGAGGGTGTCAACATGTCTGAATTACCAACATTCCAGCCAACGGGTGGACTCAACATCACCGGTGCCGTACTAGCTGCACAAGAATAGGCTCATACTCAACAAGAAACGAATCAGGAGACAAGGTGAGAGATGTTCCTATTCTGCCATTTATTTTATCTCCTCTCACCTGAGCCTCATTATACGATTACTTTTGTTTGTGAATTATTCAAGGTAAATCTACCAACGAATGATATTACGATGATGCACGAGGCGATCCCGTTTCTACCAGTTCCCGTCGCACTCTTGTGTTTCTTTCTAAATATTTTTCTACCGGGTACAGGTGAGTGGAAGGTTCCAATTTTTCTTGCTCGTTTCAATTCGGCTCACACGTTTTTGTCCATTTGTGAAAACTCGATCCTTGCTAAACCATTAGACCCAATCGCAACAAGAGAAGCTCGACGTGACACTCTGTCTTGATGCTACGCGCCATTCTTTTCAAGGCAGTCTATAATGTTGGAGTTCTTTGCGTGCTTTTCAGGCTATGAACAACCTCCCAAGGCGGTGCGCTCATTGGGAGCCTCACTACTGCATTTTACAAAATTGTATCTCCTGTAACGCGTTTGTGCCTTCCCGAGCCAAATTTCGTTTGAAGAATGGCCTAGAATGTGGCATTCTTCATCTGCTAACATTGGTAGGAAGTCATTAACACATAGAGCTAACACGTTTAGATTGAAGTGCTTTGCTGCTGTTTTTTTTACAAACAATAGTTGGTCAAAAACGATATTCCAAATTAGCCAACCCAACATTTTGATGCAATTTTGGTTCAACATCTAAATTTTGTGAGCCAGTCGATGAGCAGTTGTAATCAAATTGTTATGTTGAATAATACGTAGCAAACATCAACTAAATATAATTTGCTCATACTTGTTTAACTTAAAGCGAGAAATTACGATAAAATTTCTGTGCAGCATGGAAGAACGAGCAGCACTTCAAGCAGTAGCTAGAGCCCAAAGGAATCGAGATGTGGCCTTTTTGTGACTAAAGGTGCGCTCGTTGCAGCGCCCTGGGGCTGCCAATCCTTTCTGAGCTCCGCCTCCGCCTGTGCTCCGCCCCTCAGCAGATCGCTGTTCGATTATCATTCTGATAAGGTATGCCACTTCGAGCGCGTATCCAATTTTTTTCTCATGGAATGCTATATCAATCAAGGTATGATCTCTGGTGGTATGATGGCAGCTATGGTTTAACGAGTGCCGACGACCTCTTAGTTGGTTGCCAACTCGTCCATTATCGGAGGTCAACGGGCAGAGGAAGTGGTCCCATTTTGCGCGTTTTTGACGGATTTCTTTGCTTTTTTCGCTACTAGGGCATTATTCAGCATCTTCACTTCCACTATGAGCACAACAGAATCCTATCGCAATCTCTCGCTTTAAGTCAACAGGACAACACATTAGTTCTCGCATGGAAGCATAGATGATTTTGAGTAAAGTGGTCCGCTGAGAATAAATTAATGGTATGGTATCCGGCGCCTCTGCTTGAAATCTCATAGGGTCCGCAACTATTGAGAATTTGATGGTGATCAGATTAATGTGAGGTGCCAAGTCAGGCGAACTGGCCAAAAGAGATTGTACATTGACGCCGTTGGACATTGAGAAACTGATACCGTCCGCTCTCCTGGATTTGACAATTTTTTATTATAATTGGATGCTGACACCTTCTTGTGCGCATCAGTAGAATATAAAACGCCAAGCGGGCGCTTTTTGATTCGCAATAATATTTATAGCTTTCTCACATGCACGTAGTGATCAAGAATCACAAGCTTCGAAGAACGATGCCTGACTACGGGTAGTTTTGGTGGAGGTGAGCCGGATTCAGAGTTGGGGCCTAGAGCGCGTTTTAACTGACGTTGAAAGCACCACATTAGATTTTTCTGCCGCAGCTATCGCTTCCGCTGGTGCGTAAACTTCTCCATTGCCGATCCACTTTTCCGACTCACAGCCTTTTGTGGCTTATCTCAGAACACAAGGAGGGAGTGTTGAAGTTCAAGAAGTGTGGAATAAACCATGAAGTGGTCGCAAAAAAACCAGTACCTGCCCTCGGATTGACCTATCGCATCCTTAACGCCTGGGCGCTTTTCACTAGCTAGACCGGCGAAATAACAGCAAACTTCTCGAAAAGGGCATATAGACCTCTTCTTGTTCGTGAGCAGCACTTTTTTTCAACGACTTATCTTTTATCTAGGAACAATACTGTCAGGACTATCAGCGTTATGCATGGGCCAACCACGAGTTAATCTTAAGGAAGGGCGGAAATTGGTGACTCTGGTGAGTCGTTCTTCTTATTGAATTCCGATATCCTTCTTACTATAAAGGGGTCC